TTGGTCATTAACCTACTGCAAATGGCCAAATTTAGAAAAAAGCATCTGAGCATCCAGTGTTGTTACTCATTTTTGATCCGGACTTGCCATCACGCACGAGTTGACTAATCCATACAAGAAGTGCATTTTCAATTAGTACAACAAACACTGGCCATAAGAAATTAATTCTTGTGAAACAAATTGTCCTGTAGGAAATTTGAGATTCAATAGAGACATTGAAGTCAGAGAGACATCCAAGAAAGATAGAATCTATTTTATTACAAGCTCGACGATACATTGGACAAAAACATTATTATCATGTAGTTGGACAAAGGATTTCATACTGTGCATTTCTTTGGAAATTTGCAGAATCAAAATGTATACCCAAAAAAAGGAATGAATTTCCTTCATGGTACGCCATATACTGAAGTACCCTATAGAACTGTTACAATATTTCCAGTGCTATTGATTCCCCAACCATTTCAACTCTTGAATTCAATGAAATCCAATTAACCATATCCTTTTGTTCCATAGTACTGTTAGTGTCGTATTGAGAGTACTTTTTGCCTCTCCACACCAGCGGAAATCATCTTCTCGTTACTTCCTATTCTTTTGCATAACGTGATCGTGAATTTCCGCTTTTAAGCATAAATTATTCATTCGGCAGTGAAATGGGAATGAAGCAGTTCAAATGGAGGGAATAAACATCCGCTCGAGCCGAGTTTTCATTTAAAAGGTTGTAGCATTATATAAAATTTGTAGGGTATTTTCCTTATTCAAGGGGACAATTTCCACAAGATATGCTGCTCATTCACGATGACTTATTGATGCTAACGTATACATCTCATGAATGCGCGTTTAACCTTTTTACATTAACCTGCCCCCAAGACTTCTTTAAACTAGGCGCTAGCGCTCTCTAAAAGCTAACGTCTTTAGCTTAAAAAGTTTCGCGTAAGCAAGCGCAACTTGATCCCTAATGTTCCACGTGTTTCTTTATTGGAATAACCAGTTCACAAAAACGTCTCGGGGATGCGGAAATGCCATACCATACGGATTACAAAGTGGGCTTATTCAAAGTTGGACATCGTCAGAGCCTGGGGGACAATAAGCTGGCCGATGCCAAGAACCAGAAACGATTCCGGCACAAACTAGAAAGTTTTCCTGCTGAGGTTCCCTTGTCAGAGAGTGGGAAACTGCGCTGTAGGCAGAAAAAGCTGAAACAAGATACTGGACGGCTCGAAGTAAGTCAGTTTATCCCATGTGAAATGAAAATGGCTGCATTTCTTTATTGCAGGCAAGCCTGTAAAGTGTACACCATATCCATCAGGAATGGAGTAAACACTTTTTGAACGCTTTTCAGCTGTGAAGCTCTTCCAATTCACGCTGTATCTGCAAAAAAAAATCTACACTTTTTCGACTATTAATATGAAGGTCACAGTTACGGACGTATAGGCTTTGCATAATCAAAAATGTGCAGAGAATTCCTGCGTATGTAATAATATGCACTCCTATGATTCAATGTCCACGAGGCCAAATTCTTTTCCTTTCACTCTGTATTAGACATAGGTTAGTCAACGTAAATTTTTCCCGTTTTTGAATAAATCAAAAGAGAACATAATTCGCGAGGTTCACGGTATTTCATGATGATCATCATTATGACTAAACTCAATATATTTAATTTTTCCCAAAATAGCCTATCTTTCTAATGTGAAGCTTTTTTCCCCGAATTATGCACGATATGGACAATTCGTAATGTAGGAATTCAGTAGGTAAATATATTTTGAACAGATCTCGAGTCATGATAATTTTTTCTGAATTGTTCCCCATGGCGGAAATTTTCATTTTTCTTTTTTATCCATACCAGGGTATTATACTGAATTTCTCTACTTTATGACGAGGCTGTCACGTCACGCAAGCTACTTCTGTATATAAGCTTTTGAAAGTTCTGCTTATTGGCCTTTCAAATTGGTTCGGTAAACAAGTCGGAACCAGCCTCGTCGAATATGTTTAATTGGTATGCACAACTTCACCGGCGAGAACTCTACTGTACGTACATTCCATTGAATCAAGCGTAATTGTCAAGAATAAGTCCGTGTAATTGAAAATGTAATATTCCGACGTTCATTAACTAAACTTTGCTGTTTTAGCCGAGATACACGAGCATACCCCTAACGAATTTATCCGCACTTCAATCACGTAGGCTCATTTTCTTCATTGTTCCCCGCGATCCACTGTCATCAAATGACCTCAGACTCGAGAATTACTGCTGCTGAAACGCATGTGATTTTTCAGAAACGTACTCTTACCTCAACTGGCCTTATATTGTTTGCACACAGTAAATCTCGCTGCAACGAAATTTTTGGGTTTTGAGAAGAGCTGGCTTTACTGAATAATTTCTTATAACGGCATTTAAAAACTACCGACAAGAAAATGTTCACATCTACGTGTGGACCTATAATCCTGTTTTCCTTCCACAATCAATTATATTTTGCATTTCTGCTCAGATTTTTCATTATTGGTTGAAAAACTGAGTGATCCTCTGTAAAAATAGCTTCAATCCATCAATTGCGCCAATCTTTTTATTCTTGAAAGATTATGTGTGGAACCTTTTGGAAACTTTTCATTGCTACAACTTATTCGCGATCAGTCAGTCACATATATGTTATCGTAAATTTCAGACTGTGCCTGCAGCTAGTATAGTCAAAGTATTCATACAAGAAGTATCTATTGAACATTCGTCCAATTTTTTTTTAATGCTGGCTTTGGGAAGTTTGTTGTAACAAGATTGTTTTGACACATGTACAATATGGGCTTTTTTACAGGGTAAGGGCTTTAGAAAATGCTTTTCTTTACTGAAACATTTGTTTTGAATGTATTTTATTGTGAGACTCCTTCAATGAATAGCTTCAGAACTTGTGGGCAGTTTTGATGCTGGTAGTTTTTTGAGGGCTTGGAAATTCAATGCTGGCCAAAAGCGGCCATTTTTAGCAACTGCTGATGCATGTGTGTGTGTGTGTGTGTGTGTGTGTGTTTCTTCCTCAGCAGCGGGAACATATTTTAGCCCATTTTTCATGGTGAACAGGGTCTGATAGGAGCAGGTCCATTGCTCGCGTTGAGGGTCAAGATGGATACAGTGCACACCCGCCATCATTTGTCAGCCGCGATTAAATTAGATTCAAGTTTGTGAAAGATGCAGTATTCAAGATACGAGCGCAGCTTGGATATATACGCTGGGGATCGGTATACGAAGGCTAGGATGGGGCACTTTGGGTTGCTTATAAGCACTCCGAGCCATAGCACGCTTTTCTGGCGATAAATGAGAAGCAGCCGTCTTTGAAGGGCGAGTCTACGAGTATGGGAAACTTCCCTAGTTTTAACGCCACGTACGTCTTGCATCTCGAAGAGACATTTGCAACAGCACTTGATTACAAGTCTGTCCAGAAATTGTTTTCATACACGAAGCAGCGAGTGTACAGTAGAGGGTACATACTGGCATCGTGTTGACATTGAGTTTCATTCACACAGAGGGAATTTAATAAACCGTGGTGCACTGCTGAATCTGGGTCAAGTCAACTAACTGCTTCTGCAGCTTTGATGTAAAATAATAGGAAAACTTCCTTGAATTGCGGCTTCTTTTTTTATGTGCGAAGGATAAATATCTACGCACAGTCGTTCGCTGTAAAAATGATGCTGATACAATAGATCACGTAAATAGATTCTGAGGTCAGACGTGCAAGAAATTAATGTTGGTTTTGGCATCCAGGGTTAAATCGGGCAGTTGGTTTCCTTTAGACAGAAGACATATTTATATACAGTACATTTGCATATTACAAACTTTTCGAAGAAGTATTTCAGTAGAAGAAACTTCTTTACGAGTCCTGATTGAAAGCAAAAACTGGCCAAAATCCAGTATAACTGACTTCTGTGAGGTATGTTCAATTCATTCGCCAGGTAGAAATTACCTGACTATAAGACATGCACAAACTGAAATTTGAATTCCCAAGGAGACTGACTGGTACTTGTCGGATGGATGGAAGTTTTAATTAATGGCAAATATGCTTTCCAAATAGTTTCACAAATCGTCCTTCCAGCAGAATGTAAAGATTGGTGCAACCGATGGAATGCGTAGCTAATTTTTTCAGAAGATCACTCACTTTTTAAAAGAGTAATAAAAAATCTGAAAGTGCCAGAAAGGCAAGATTTATTTAAATATAGGCAGTTCTGTCATAAAACTGTTTCACAGTCGTAAATAAAGAAAAATAATAATAAAATTATTCAGCATAATAAACTTTTCTCAAGTCTACATTAGTCCATCTTATAAAAAAATTCACTATATATTCAGCCAATTCGAAAATCTCCTCAACCAATCAAAAAAGCGAATTATTTTCCTTTCTAAACATTGGATACATTTGTGCTGCGTTCAAGCAATGATGGTGCTGCTTTTTTGTGCAATACCTATAATGTACCTCTCATTGGAAGATTCTTTCCGATGTGGTTTTGTCTTCCGCAGGCAATGCTTCTTTTGATATTATTTTCTAATAAGTGCCGGTTGCTGAAACAGTATCACAGCATTTTCCTCGAATGCACACGTACTGTGCATCATCACGTACAGTATATACAGTTCATATGCTCGTGCACGTGCTTAACGTAAGAGGTATCTCTCATCATTCGTGATGCTGGCCAATTCGTTTCACGACCAATCAACACTCGATAAGACATCAGTGCTGGTTTGGCTCATGGAACAATATAGAAAGAGCTCAGTGCCCTCTCGTCCGATGGTCCCTTTTTTTTCACTGGTGTGGAAGTCCAGAGAAAGAAGAGGAGGAGATTTTAAGTAATAAACCAGTGCTGATGCCAAAGAGGCAGCATCTGTCTTGGAACTCCTAGACAGCGCCGAAAAGCGGGAAAAATGGCTGTGGAGGAAGTAATTTCATGGGAGAAGAAACCCGCGTAGCGGCTTGTGTCCATCGAGAGGAAATCCATCCGTCTTGCCCATCTCTGCTCATCAAAAAGTCCGCGGGAAAAAGGCATCAACATCCTCATTTTCAACGTGTATATATATCTCTTGTATTCTTCAGCGTGTTGTGCACAGGATGGACCGAATCAAAGCCGAGTTGCAGGCTGAGCTTGAAGCGCTGCTGGAAGACCGAGACCGAGTCACTACGGAGCTCAGGGTCTTGTCGAGATCTGAACCTGCTTTGCGTCGACGGTGGCTCTTCGCAAAGGTGAAGAACTTGACTGAATCGTGGCAGTATTTATTGTGCCACAAATTCCTGTCATATATAACGAGGGACAACATATGAAAATTCAGAGAATGCGAAGAGCCTATATCAGCTATACTTGGTGTTTGTTCAGCTGCATTAACCCTTCAATGGCGCAGGAATTCTTAACCAGACACTTTTAATTTCGAAAAAATATACTGTACTACTGGAAAGTATATTCAAAATCATGAAATTTTTTTTCTATCTCAGCAGAAAAATTGTGGAAGAGCTGAAAAACAAGCTCACCACGTCTGGGTTTTTTCACCCTTCAGTCAAAGAAAAAACTTTACGGTTTTGCTGCAATAACATAGTGAGTTAAAAAAAGCAAGTAATAATTCGGTCTTTTTTTCCAGAATGTAATTTAGCAAAAGATCTCATGAATTCATGCTACCCCTTCAGCAATACTACAAAACTTGTTGTTGGCCTATGCCAAAAGCCTGGATATATTGCAAAAATTGCAAGACATCTGCAGTGTCACTGCAATCTCCAAAAAAATGTTCTTGATTTACTTCAGACCTTTTTTTGCCAAGCGTTCCACACGATGAAATTTGAACTATCAAAATACTCCGGATTCCCACAACTTATTAATGAGAAGGTGTTCTCCCAAACCTCTTAAAGGACAAAAAATAAGTGTTGGCTTTACTAAATTTCTCCTGATTCCTGAAAGATTCTTTTGCAATTGTTTAGTCAATTAAATATAATCTCTGAACGGCTAGGCTGAACACCTTCTGCATTACATTGTGCTCACGCAGTAAATGCCTTGTGCTGTGATTTTTTTTTTCATTTTTAAAGGAGAAAAGTAATGGAAATTCAATATATATTCAGTGACTTATTTTTCATACGCTGGAATGTGTCAAAAGGGTTTTGCGGGCGGGGGGAGGGTGCTCAGATGTGGGAAACTTTTCTGAAACCTTGTGAATGCTGAAAAACCGAGTATATAAAGCTTTTGTATCAACCAATGAGACAAAACTATGGCAGATTTTTTGCAAGAAATATGCTGCCTGATCCAAATATAGAATGACTTATGAATTTCAAATTCAGTTCATCCAACGTTGGATTGCCCTTGCTGATCTTTTGAACTCTCAATACACGAGTGTGAGAGTTGCAATAAAGGGGTTGATAAAATCAGCGAGTATTTAGGATAAGTGTCTGGCCGAGGCGAGGCACGGCCCCCCGAGAGGAATTTCTCCCAAAGACATATTGCATTTCCCACACACATCGAAAAATAAGGAGAAATAAACGGCCGACGGAAGCCTTGATGTCGCAGCTGGAGGTGACACGCCAAGGAAATGAGCTCCTTGGAAGTCAGTACCCGTGAGGCTGGAACCCGGCGCTGCTCTGACATGCTTCTCGTACCAGGAGGAGGCATTATACTAATGAGCCCCTGGGGAGAGTCTGCTTTGTTGCGCCGAGGACACATAATCGAGTTTTCGGGACTCGGCATGGCGAATCCACGCCTCAATGAAGTCCCTTCTCAGTGTATAGCTCTGCGTCACTCATGAAACAGAGTCACATGCCATAATCAGCCAGCATGCGACTGAATTACTCAGCCATGATTTCCACTGGTCGGGCTATGGAAATGTATATACGCGACAAAAAGGCTTTTTTTCGCGACTTGCTTTTCAGCTCATCTTAAAATCATCGGCTTTATCGTCACTTTTTCAGTGGAAAATATGAAAAAAAATTAATAAGTCGGAGATGGAATCCCTGCTGATTAAATTCTCTATTGTCGAGTACAAAAACGGAAAAGAGCGGTAAAAAATCGGTAGGACTTAAACACAAATGAGCTTTAGCACATTTCTATTCTCCTATGAACTGCGTTCTTTGAGTTATCTTTGAACAAGGAACTCTTTTTCATTCAACCATCAGCAGTTCCGTCAGTATTCATTAAGTTCGAAAACTGTATTTTCATTGGTTCTGAGCTCACAATTAAAAGGATATGCAAATTTTAACGAAGTGTAATTTTTTCATCATTAAACGTAGCATCTTCCGCGAAGTTGTTTTTTCCTAAATGTTGCGAGGTAACTTTTCGGAGAAAATGTACACATAAAAATGTCATCAAACCTCAATTGAACAATTTTGGAACAAAATACAAGTGATTTGGTCGTTGATGACTACCCCTACGTTGTATCATCCAATGAGCGGGACAGAATACAGCGTCAAGGCCTATTCCAAAAATCTGGAGGAGTACTGAAAACCGTTCCCTGAATCACAATTTGCACTTGACGATAAATATCCGAAATTATTTTATTCTGAACATTGAACCCTTATTCGTTATATTGATTTCATTATTGTATTTTCTAGCTGCAACACGACATTAGACAGAAATTCGCCGAATGCAATCGCCTCTGGGCAGACCAAGCAGACCTCTGTAAACAAATTTCCACCCACGCTCCGAGGATGACTTTTCGCGACGTTTTCCGGACTGGCGACGATTGCGCAGTGAGTCTTGAGACCTTGTGATTTTCTACTGCTCCATTTCTTGTTGATGTAAATGTACATACTGTCCTTTACTACGATGTTAAACACAACCTCTGTGGAGACTCTTCAGCGGATTTTGGAACAAGTAAGTTATTCTTCTGTGCGAATGTATTCTTCCTTCGAGAAATGAAAGCATTATAAAATGCACAAGTGCACATTGAATAACTTTTGGAGGGAATTAGGGTAGCCCGCTTTTTAGCATGGCAGAACCGTGAGTGCCCAATAAGAGAAGCACCAATGGAAGAAACATAGAGTTTGAGGGGATGCTTCCTTCAAGCTCCCACCGGCGTGATCAGTTATGATGAGGGAAATTGCCTTCGGAAGCACTTCTTTTTCAACAAAGAATCCCAGATTTCCAGAGGGCTTTGTTTGAGGTCTGACTCCACAGAGATTGGAATAGCTTCTTTTCACAGCCACCTAGAAAGAGCTTTCACCACTTTCTATGATGGATGGAGATCTTCCTCAGATCTGTAGTCTCTCTTTCGGCGGTTTCCGAAAGAGAGAATTTTAAGATTGGACTTCTCTGCATTCGTGCAAATTTAAAGACTGCAAAAGAAGTCGATGTTCTTTTTTTTTTTGCTTATGAACGCAATATTTACAACCCTGTAAATTAATAATACTTCAGGTGGATATGAAAAAAGCCTTCTATTCAAAAATTGCCTTTGGAAGGGGAAATTCTAGATACATAAATGAATTTGACCTGTTTTTTTCCCCTTGGGGCTAACCTTTGGCTGTAGTTCATAATGAGCACGCATAGAAAGCTGTTCATTTCAAGACAAAATCCAACAAAAAATGTGTCTCGTTTTTCACGCCAGATTTTGTGGACCATGGTCCCTTTTACGGGGTCAGTTTCATGCTTCAAAAAATGGACTTTTTTGCGTTGCAAGTGAGAAATTTGAGAAAAATCCGAAATTGTTTAGCATTTCAGCAAACACTTTTTTACAGAATTAAAGGAAAAATTACTGCTGGGTGACATTTTTTTGCATTCCTGCCATATGATTAGCATTGAGGGATTCATAAAACAATTGCTTTCCCTTTCCCTGATTTTTCCTGACTTCGGCTACTTGTTCAAAGCTGAGTTTCAGTGACCTTCGGCCACACCTAAATGCAGAAGTGTGCCAAAAAATCTGAGCACTACCATGTGATGAAAAAAAACCTGACACCAAACACAGGGAAACAACATCAAGTATTGCATGAGACAGTTATCGGGCAGAAACTCTGCTGATAACTTATTTTATTCCAACACCGCCTCTGTGATCAAGGAACTTCCCACTTTTGCAACTGCTGGTCATGTTGTCTTTTTTGAAGGAAACCGGAAGCCTCCCAATTAGAAAAAAGGAAGCTGGGAACCAATCTATAGACATCTGCTACTGTCTGGTTGAAATACAAGGGTGAACCAGCATGTTCCCAAAGAGAAACCCTTTTTATGCGCTTGACATATTTTAACTTCAAGGGAAATTGTGCAGCAAATCAAGCCTTGAACTCACATTGAATAATTTGAGAGACGCTTTCAGCATATTGCATGCCCCATATATGGGGATGAACAACTAAAACCAACCAGAATTATTTAAATTATTATCCACCCCAAGATGTCTGATTTGCTTCCCGGCACTCGTCCCAATGAATCCTTCCAATAATGTTCGGTCGCGGATATTTTCTTTCCACTCCGCAATAGAAAGCATTTTCCTCTCTGTAAAATACTTGAATCGGGAAGAAGCTTCAGTTCAATTTAGCATTTTTTTTCATCGAGTGCGTTTCATTGTTTCAAGAAAGACAACAGCTGGCCACAAAGTAATGCGACGCAAAATAAGATAAAAGACGGTTGGTTCGCAGCAGAGTCGTTGCTCTTCACACACAGAAAGCTTCGCAGCAGTCGCTTCAACGCTTCCCGAATCGTTATACAGTCTTGTAAAGTGTACAGTGTGTCTGCCTGGTTGTTGGCACCATGTCTGAAAGCCTGGCGAACGTTGAATCGAAAGAAATGCTTTAACGTCTTCCGGAGCGTGTTCCTCCCCTTGTCCTCCTCTTGCGTGGCCGGATGATGTCTTTTGGCCACTGAGCCAGGAATTGTGGATCCCGATGCAGGATGGATTTTCTAGTAGGGCAGGACTGATGATGATGTGGCCCAGGCCTTCCAAAGTAAATTCTCGTTCAGAAAGTGCTTCCAAGTATTCAAGCCCCCTTTTTGGCTGGTACAGTGCGGTAATATCTTATTGTTGCAACAAACTTTTGGAGAAATTGGAATATGTTATTGTTACAACAAATAAATTTTTATGAAATGAGGTCTTCAAAATTTTTGACTGGGAACAAACTTCAAATCAGACCTCCCCATAATCAATGATTATAGATCTTAATTTTCTGACATTTTCAGATTTTTTCATTATTCATTGCAAAACTTATGATCTTCTATGTATAGAAATAAATAAGCTTCAATGGTGCATGAAATCAGTATCACCTTATATACAGCATCTTCATTCTGCGAGGATGATATGAAAATCTCAATTCTGGAAGAATGTTGTATGGAACTGCTTGGAAGCATGTTTGTCATTGATTACAGCTTCCATCCATGCAACAAAAACCAGTGCTAGTCGCATTTGGAATCAAAAAAATTTCGGACTGCCTGTCATACTCATAGACAAATTCCAACTGGAGGATTTCCTTAAAAAATTCTTCAAAATTTTTGTTCACTGGAATGGGGAAGCTTGCTGGTACAAGATTGTTTCAACATATACAGTACTGTACATACTCCGAGGTTTTCGCTGGGACTTCAGAAAAAGTTCCATCATACTGAAACATATTTAAAGATTATTCCTTGAAGGAAGATTTTTCAAAATACATGTACTTGACTGAAATAGTTCGAAGAGCACATAAGCGTGAGGCCTCGATTTTCAGAATCGCACGGCAATACCCTGACCAATTAAAGAAAAAAGGAAATATTACTACTGAGTTCACCAACGTGCTGTGATGGAACCCAATGCGTCGATTCCAAATGCAGTACAGTATTCATTTGTTTTAGGTGTTATAGTGCATATATAATGTTCTTCGCGTGTGAATCGCAATCCAAGCCATGCTTATATGCGCCACACTACCAATTTAATTCTTGAAACGTATTTATTCTTGCACAAACCAATTTTTTTTTTATTTCCAAACCCAATAGAGGAAAAGTTGAATACATGGTTAGTGAAATTTTTTCTACAAGTCTACGAATAGAATTCCAATGGCCAGAAATACCAGTGATCTGACTGAATCCCTGAACATCTTAAATCGTAGGTGTTGCCTTTTATTTTTACGACATTTGATCATATTCAGAAAAGATGGATCAAAAGCGTTTCTCATGATACAGGGACAGCATCATAACCAGAATACAGAGCAAAGATCCCCTTATGCCGCCCGCACGATCCCCCTGAACTTTTTTTTTATCTCGTCGGCCGTGATTTAAATTGAGACTAATGTTGTAATCTGCGATGAGTGAGCGTGAAACAGATGGAATTCGGTCCGTACCCGTACCTCGAAAGTGATCTGTCACATGGAGCAAATTTTGGAAAAATTTAATTTTCCAGCAAGAATTTTAGAGCGAAAGAGTGCCATCGAAGTTATTTTCAAGGACCATAACCCATTGACCCAATAAGAATCCTGCGATAATTTCTCAATTGTGAAACAGACACGTACTATAGAAAATATAAAAGTCAAGTGCTCTATAGTCCTGTGCAGAAAAATATATTTTAATATCCCGAAAATTTCAAACCCCTTATCTGGATTTAACCCGTTTAGCAGTTTATTTTTCCTAAATAGTCTTCTGGCTTCCATGATGCGCTCTTGGATTAATAAAATTATCTTTACGATTTCAGGATGTTCTGAACCGCATTGCGGAGAAGAAAAGAAAGGCAATGAATCGACTTGAGCAGCTGGAGTCCCAGTACAATGGCTACGTTAAATTTGGTTATCAATTTCGCCAAGATGTAGAGGTTCGTGCATTTTCGAGAACTTGTAAGAGAGATAAATTTCATGAAATTTTTTCTTGCACTCCTGAATTTCCGACCAAGATTTGTCGGTTTAAAATAAATTGCCCGTATATCGAGAGAAAGCGTTAGACTCATACTGTTTCGTTGTATAGTTTCTGATCCTCGGACTTATACACGCCTGGCAAAACAAAGAAGGAATGAAATCGCACTTGGAAAAGCTATCAAATTACATTCTCGAGGTCAATGATATCTTGGAGATTCGAGACCCTGTTCAAGCTTTGGTAAAAGCTTGTTTCAATGATTTGTGGCGCCCCGGGGAAAAATCCCGCAACTTTTTTCGCATGGATACAAACATTTGTCGGCTGGTAGAGAAAACCCCGGATCAGCCGTCGACGTCTAGACCCACTGAATTTGCATTGCAGAATTTCATTGAAGCTTCCAGCCTTGACAGGTAATGCCTTTGAGATTTCTTCCCGCATACTTATTTGATTGTTCAAACCGAACTATAGGAGCATTATGTTCTAAACCCCTAATGCTAAACCTAATGCTAAACTAAACCTCATACAGAAACAAGCTGAAGACCTTGTGCTTTAAATATGTTTCACGCTCACTCATCGCAGATTACAACATTAGTCTCAATTTAAATCACGGCCGACGAGATAAAAAAAAAGTTCAGGGGGATCGTGCGGGCGGCATAAGGGGATCTTTGCTCTGTATTCTGGTTGTGGAAATCTTTATTGAACCTTGTGAATGCTGAAAAGCGGCAAATAAAGTTTTCTGTTCATTCATTCATCTAAACCGCAATAGTAATCAATTGTGCATAATTCTGTTGAAGGTGCAGTTTCATATCTGAAGAGCTTCATTCCTATTCCACATAACACTGTTTCCCATTTTTATCCAGGGGATTGATCCTTTCTTTTAAACAAATAATGTGATACATGTTTTTGCGCAATTAGGGTCACATACAATATATGCTAAAGGAATATATTACTGTACATGGAAGATTAAAACTTGGATGCCTGCACAGGTTAAAAAAGTGCCAATGAATTTAGTCCTTCTATTCTTTTTTTTTCTTCGCTGGAGCGGAAACCTTGTTAGGACTTGTTTCTGCAGCTATTAAGGTTTAATCTTCAATGGAAACACTGCTTGAGCCTAGAAGAACGCAAAACCTTGTTTGAGACAACATTTATATGAGTTTTCACTTTCAATGACATTTTCACGATATTCAGGCATACATTTCGATATTTTAAACGCAAAGGAAATCTTCTGTAGGCAGTGAAGAAAATTCGGTGCGAGGAGTATATCCGTTTTGAAGCTCAAAAAATCTGCACAAAATTGCACGTTGGAATGTTGTTGGAAATGTCGGAAAAAATCGCGTGTTTGAAAGGGCTTTATTTGAAATATATTGACAAATATATTTTCTTACTCATATTCCAGCATTGCAATACAGCTAGCTGTGGATCTCAATGCCATAGACAAGCATTTTGAATACGTTAAAAACCTGTTCAACATCGTAAGCAAAGATCAAACTTCCACCGAGAGCCTGTTGACAACCGAAGGAAAATTTGCAAAATCGTTAAACTTCGGTCGTTTTGCAAAACTAAGTTCATCGCGGGAAAGGATGGACCAATGGATCCCTGGGGATCTGAAGGAGCATAGCAGTCTTCGTGTTGTAATTGACCGACTATTGAAAGCTGGTTCAGACGAGACCGGAGAAAACGCGCCTGACAATGATTACGACGATGTTGAATCAGACAGGGAGGTCGCAAGAGGAATTGAAGTACGCAAAATCATCGAGCCCAATGTTGAATAACGCTGAATACAATAATTCTTCAATCCGCTGCCAGCATTTCTTCATTTTTAAGTTTCGTTCCAACACCGCCAAAGCGAATGTAATTTTTCACATGAAGCAGGGCGTTTCTTTATTACATGGATTTTTCAGAATCTATGCCGCGACATCTATGCCGTTCTATCAGTGTCCACGAAGTATCGGGATATCTAAAGAGTTGCAAGTTGTCGCGGCTAAAGATCGCGAAGGGCCAGACATACGAGAATAACAATATACAGTACTTCTCAGTTCCCACATTTGTGGAAAAATTGGAGTTTTTTTAACCCAATATAGGTCTCATTGTATGATGTCTATGCCTGGGCGTTAATTTAATTCGATAGGATTCATATGCTGTTCTGGACCAGTGTTCCCCATCATTACCATCACATGGTTCACGGATCCGGAAAAGTTGTTTGCTGGCCTGGGAGAAATTTTCTTCAAAGGTTTAATTTTATCAAAAATAGCGATGTTGTCTGTCATCTTCATCTGGAATTTTTAATAGTCAAAGGTAGCTCAAATTATTTATCCTAATAAAACTGCATATAAATTTCCACTTGCTGACATTAATAGTTGAAATTTTTAATTCTGAGAAACCTCTCTTCAAGCACATCTTTCTAATTTTTTGAAAACATTCAACCATACATTTTTCATTGGTTCTTATAACCTAATTTTTGCGGAAAGACAGAAACTTTGTTCCATTAAATCTTTTAAACAAAACTTTTTCGAATCAGAAGATTTCGTGAAGCTTTGCCGGTGAACAAAACATTGTTAAGAAATCGGTCAGTCTGCTTTAAAAATTAAAGAAAATTTGCTTTTCCGTGGGCCAAAAATGGTTATGGAACACTGTTCTAGATTATAGAGTTCATACTCATTGTTGTGGAGAGGAACCTGTTTTTCATGTGATATATACTATGGAACCAAAATGTGCTGAAGTGTAAACAGGACTGTTAAGATCAAGTTTAAAGAACGAGGAGGTGGAAATTCCCAAATCGTTTGGGGGACGGGTACATGTCCAAGCTTCAATCATGTGTTTAGTATTGTGGTGCCCCAATTCCATTTCTTCAGATGATGAAAGATAAAAGTTGTTTGACCTGCATGTAAAAATGTGCACTGCAAGGCATAATCGAGGTTTCAAAACTCGAAATCTTGACGCAGCAGCAGGTCACTGTAAGGAGTTGATGCGTTCAATGGAGATCCATGCTAAGTGGTGACATTTGGAGAGGTGGTGGAATTACTGTATGTTGTAATTTCCAACCCTGCTTATTGTCATCCAGCCTCTGCAGGAATTATATTGTGAAAAAAATCTTCCCCCTCTGCATAACTGGCCTAAGGTTGTACTGCTAAAATATCCTGAAAGTTGAAAAAAATTATTGTTTGAAAAAAAAACCCAGATAAAACTCATACAATGGAGTATGAACTGGAGTATTGTTGTCAAGATAAAAATGGAATTATCTCATAAATGAAATTCTTCCCTCTAGCATATATTTATAGCATTGGTGCACTTTTAATTTAATGTGAGCATTCATTTACACTATTATGTTTATTACATTTATGTAAAGTCTATGCCATACAACATGACACTGCTGTGCCAAATATCCAAAAAAAAAATATTGGAGAGGCTGGATGACAATAAGCAGGGTTGTAAATTACGACGTAATTCCACCACCTCTCCAAATGTCACCAGTTAGCATGGAGCTCCATTGAACGCATCAACTCCTTACAGTCACCTGCTGCTGCGTCAAGATTTCGAGTTTTGAAACCTCGAGTCCTCGATTATGCCTTGCAGTGCACATTTTTACATGCAGGCCAAATATCCAAAAAAATCTATTCAGCTGATGACAAATTTTAGCAGAACTTCGTTTCAGAGAAGTCCATATGAAAACTTTTGAAAAACTGATAGGTTTGGCTGTATGGGAATTGCAACTATAGGATTCAGGTGTGCGTATGTTCGACGTGATCCCAGTGATTCTCCTGATAGTTTAAATTTTGAGAAATATGCTTCCAACCACACTGAGGAAGCTTTTCGAGGAAATGCAGATACAAAACCTGGGACACACACGCATCAATTGAACAGCATTAATTTATCCACCAAATAGTCGAAGGAATTAAATTGATGATGCTCTAAGTCCTAAAATGATCTGTCACTTAAATCTCTGTGTAATACCAGGTTTGCTTTGGACAAGTAACAAGTTCTTTAAGATGGCTAGCCAACACTACCCGAACGTCATTTCGGAACAACTCAACGATGCACACTCGTCCCTTTCCATTCGTAAGATGCGACATCTACTTGACAATGTACGAATAAACATAAAATTGTTTATACGTCCCTAGGTAAACGTCGGGGATTACATTCTGATGTACATGACTGCATGTATATCCATCTGTGATTCCTAGTACGTACTGTTCAGAACGTGCGGTGAAACTCACGCTAAACCACAGAAAGCTTATCGTTGTGTGGCCTGTTCTTCAAGGTCTCGTTCAACACGCCTTCCTAATTGAGAATCTTTTCCAAATACAGTACTGAAAATAATGTACGCTTGCTAGTTCACCGTATTTGCATAAAGATAAAACTCATAAACGGAAACCGTAACCTTTGCGATGCATGCACTCTGAAATGTGTCGTACAGTATATAAGAACGTGTTTCGAGGATAAAAATTCAGAACAAATAAAAGGCCAAGATACATTTGTCCATGGAAACCGCTTATGAAGGAACATGATTCTGTTAGTTCTCAATTTCTGCTCAATACTTGTGCTTTCAATCTAGTCAAGGATGATTCTGATTAATGCATTAATCCATGTTATAACAGTCCTTTTTATTCCTCGCACGATCTGAGAGTTTCCCACCCAGTTATTGATGCAAATTTCATGTGAGAATAAAATTTGTCAAAAACACAAAAAATGAGACATCTCCACTTGATGCAAGACAAGCTGCTGCATATACATGACCACCCAAAAGTTGACTGGAGAATGTAACAGAAAAATGGATCAGACCTAAATGCATTTGATGAACAATGATTTCTTGATAAAATTTACTCCAATGAATTCGAAATTAGCGATTAAAACGGGAATTCGACGGTTTATTTCGGGATTGCGGTTTTTCAGTTTCATTGAATAGGTATGAAAATGAAATTAAAGTTGCATGAATATCCTCAGTGCATTCTCATTTCCTAATCTGTCACGCCTAAGAATTGAAGATTCCGAGTTGATGAACTAGAATGTCATCCCCGTCACACACCTATTAAATGTTCAAGGAATGTTCTTCAGTAATGGGGCAAACGATTCAAATATGGACTGAAACAAATAAGCGAATTGTATCCCTAGAATGCAGAAAAAAATGAAGCATCCTGCATTCTGGTACCGGAGGAAATCTACCCGCTGCTAGGAGAAAATCCCATGGCACAAAAATGCGGCGGTTCAAGAATTTCGATAGCTAGTAAAAAAGTCTGCAACGCTTCAACAATTCTGCAGCATACAGCATAATTAAAAAAATAATTAGAAGTCACAATTTCAAAATTAAAATTTATTAAAACTTGTGCTGTTCGTGCATCGAGAAATTTTCGCGAATTTTCTTCGCCCTCAGGAATATGCTGCGTAATATCTTGCGTTGTTATTCCCCTGAGCATTTCACTGATGCATTTCGAAAGTTCTTGAGGATTCATTTTGCTCTTGGCGATTGTCATTCTCATAAACTTGAGCATTTTAAGATTTTAGTTCGAGCTTTTAAAATAATTTTGATGCGTTGTACTAATGTACATAAGCTGTGTATTTCGATAACAAATTCAACGTTTGCAATTTGTCACCTGAGAATTGCGAGAAGAGTAAATTTTCTTGCATACATTTCTGAAATTAACATCGAAGTTCACTTCCAAACCTCGGTTGAAACAATTCATACCTTTTTTGCAGCTTTCATGCTATTACTCAATATTTTTTTAGATGGCATAAATTTCTGACTTTTTCGATAAATGCATTTTTCTTGTCAGATGCTTCCTGCCTGCAGAATAATACGATACTCGAGGGATCATCGCATCACAGAATCTTGGAGGCGTTTTCTCTGAAGCGGGGTTTCTTCTAGAAGTCATATGTATATGAAATAAAATGTCTCCACAGTCATTGTGCCTTCCATGAGAAATTTAAACTTTCAGCAGCGGTGCCCAGTTTTTTTCTAAGTGATCCCATGCTAGACCCGTTTAAATTGAAAACGTATATACAGGGTGAACAAAAAAAGTAATTGCTTTTTTATTACAATACCTTGACAGAAACGTTAATTTATTATCAGTATTCTTGCAATATCTCAAGGGAAACTGCAATTTCTCCAGAGTACTTTTTTTACCCAACCCCCTGCACTCAGTAGTCCTACAGTGGGACCCCAAGATGCAGATAGAATCGGTGCTCAGACCTTGTTCTGATGCTGTCTTATTATGGAAATGTTGGATCACATCTTTGAATATTGACTTCAAAGAAAAAATATTTAATTTGTTCTCCTGCTCATCAAAAATCAGGAATAATAACCCCCAAGAATAGAATAAACATTCTTGCCCTCAACTTCAAGACACAAAATAGAACTGTGCAGATGAAAATCACGTAGAGTATAATCTTTTGGCATCAAAAAAGAGCTCAAAAATCAAGGAACAAACAAATTCTATTTATACTGTGCCCAGATCATAGAAAAAGCTCCAAGAAAAAAAAGCAAAATCAGCCCTTCTTTATTGAGAATTTGAGTAAATTTTTAACGAAATGTGTTTCCAATTTTTTTGAGTATACTGTATTGTATAAGGCTAAATTTTTCTCCAGATGTCATGGCGGCAGCCTTTTTGAGTTTCAAGTGTATATATTGTATACAGTATTTCATATTGGCTGCATGTTTGAGCACCTGCATGTCCTGGTCATTTCACTATGTATGTTCAGAATTTCTGGAATTCAAGGAAGAGATGAAAGAGATATATGAGTGGTACAGCACTGTGTACTGTAGCTAACATGTGGATCAGAAAGCACCAACTCAGAGATGTTCTTAC